GCTTTTTAGTACGGTTCTGTCAAGATTAAATTCCCTTCCCCTTCCCTCAAATGACTTTATTATTCTTTAGTTCTGCTATGAGGACAGATACCTCAGAAACAGATAGGGAAGACCAACCAAATAAATGTTTTATAGCCATCACCAAATATGTTAGTTCTGAATAGGCTCTATCCATGTCTCAGTTGAAATCAGCATCCTACCCTAGAGGCATTTTTGGCTGAAGAGTAGTTCAAAAATTGCAAAAAACAAAAGAAAATATGTGGAATATTGATTGTTTGTTGCTTCAACTAGCTTCTTCTAATTAATAATTTCTTTTTTTTAGTTTTCCTTTTTTCAGTAGTGTCTTTCAATTTTTCTTTAGATTCAATCCAATAATCATATTTTTTCTGATAGCCTTAGCTTCAGGGCATTGAGAGACTACAAGGAAGCTTAAAAAATGGAAAGTGGCTATTGAGTATTCTTAATAACAACAATAACAATAATAATAAAGTTGGAAGGGATCTTGGAGGTCATCTAGTCCAACCCCCTACTCAGGTAGGAAACTCTATACCGTTTTGGACAAATATCTGTCCAATCTCTTCTTAAAAACCTCCAGTGTTGGAACATTCACCACTTCTGGAGGCAGGTTGTTCCACTGGTTAATTATTCTAACTGTCAGGAAATTTCTCCTTAGTTCTAGGTTGCTTCTCTCCTTGATTAGTTTCTTGACCGAGATAGTTTCATATGCACAACTGTGCTCTGGCCTTGAAATCTGAAACCTTATAATATAATTTCAGGTTAAGAGAGAAATGATCCCTATCATGATAAAATCAAACTTAAAACCAACTATTCTGTTGGATACATTTTGAGATAGCACTTCCACCCACTTCCACTCTAGAGGATTTTGTCTTAGGAATCGCCTTTAACTGATCCAATTAGAATTTAAAAACAAACAAACCCAATTCTAATTAGCTAATCTCTATCCCTGTAATTATTTTCCTTATCTTTCAAGAAAGCAGGTTGGAAATAAAAGTGACCAACAGATAATTAAAAAAAAAAACAGAGGAAGTAAAAGGCTTCTTCACTGGATTCAATGCCATGTTAAAGTCACTAGGAAGAATTAGTTCAAAGCTAGTATATTTTACTAACAAACCCAGGAGATAATCATCAAACACACTCCCAATGTCATTAAAATGGTTTAAATAGACATTGATTAACAGCAACAGTGGTTATTATCTAGTTTTAGTTCGATAACCATATGCAAGAAATGAGAAGTGACATGCTTGGTTATAGTTTGGCTAAAATGAAGATGCAGAGAGCATCTTGGGTGCACCCTCTTTCAAGCTTAGCCTGTAGTGAAAACAAGATATAGCCATTCAGCACTAAAGTCTATTAAATTGTGTTTAATAGACTCGTGAAGGTCATTCCTTTGGGTGGAGCATCCTGCTATATTTTTAGAAATCAGGAGATATCCTATTGAATGCCTATCAATAGATTTATCATTCATTCAATTCATTCACCATCATTCAATCATTCAATAGATCTTCCTGTCTAAATGCCCTCAGATGGAAAAAACAAGGGAAATTTAAGAAGTTCTTTCTAAACGCAGAATATGACTGCGGGTAGTTCTGCTAGGAAAATGCCTAAAGCGATTTGTTCTTTTTTTTAAAAAAATATACTTTAAAATATTTCTATAAGAAACAATTGTACCCAGCAGTGACTTTTACCATAATAAATTGTGGTCAAATTTGAAATAAATAAATAGAAAACCAAAATTATGGCTTATTGATATGGACATGAAAAGGGAATGGATTTTTATTGACCCATATAGCAATAGCACTTAGATTTATATACCACTTCACAGTGCTTTACAGTACTCACTAAGAGGTTTATAAAGTCAGCCTATTGCCCCCAACAATCTGGATCCTCATTTTATCCATCTCAAAAGGATGGAAGGCTGAGTCAACTTTGAGCCTGGAGAGAACTGAACTGCTGCCAGTCAGCAGAATTAGCCTGCAATACTTCATTCTAACCATTGCACTACCACAGCTCTTATAATATAAATCTATCCCATATAGATAGGAAACAATTAAAAGACTTGGGGAACATCTTCCTAGAATACAGATTGTCATCATTTGCTAAATGCAACTGGGACCAATAATTCTATCACTACATGATCAGGTTGTAAAGTGACCACATCTGACTTACAACAGCAGTTTGTCAGTTCAATTTATAATTGTAAATGAATCACTACAGATCATTAAGACACCACAGGACTCTGACTTGTGACTTTCTACTGGCTTCCTCAATGACTTTGCTTGTTGGAAACTGGCTGTGAAGGTCACAAAAGACAAGCATGTTACTATGAGATGCCATGACCAGTCTACCCGTTGCCAAGCTCCCAAATTGCTATCACGTGATTATGGGGATACTGCAATGGCTGCAGTTTTGAGGGCTGATTGTTTCTTTGTTCATAACTTTGGACAGTCACTAAACAAAGTTAGTAAGTGACAACTACCTGTACTTTACTTCTCAATAATTAAACAAAATAAAGCAAACTTGCCAGATGTAGAACTGGTTTTAGATATTATAACTGTACCACAACTATTGCAAACCAAGGTTACTTCTAGTCCAAATTGCTACATTGTATCATATGTAATTGATGATTACATCAGTTGTAATCACCTGTGACTATTACATGTCACATCTATTACCAGGATACACCTTTAAGTTATAGATTTTTCACGATTTGGGTACTATATGAGTCAGAAACATCTTAATTGGTAGGTCTAATTGAAGAGGTGCTAAGCCTTCTGGAAAATCATATTTTTAAAGCCCCTTATATATAATTGATGTGTAGTCATCCTTTCAATTTTTTCAATCTACAAATAGGTCATAGTTTGATTTAGATATGTTCATAATTTGTTCATAGCTACTGCTATGGAAATACAATGCCAATACCAGTTTATAAATTTTACTGCCATATCCTTTCAAGGAGCATCTACAGAATTTATCAAATATGCTTCCAAGTAAAGACTGCAGAAGGCAGGTTTAAATCATTGCAACAATCTGGTCCAATACCACATTGTACAATGTATAACTAATATTATCCAACAGGACATGCTATTAAGATGAGGTCATTCATTTGTCGGTGTCTGGATATAGGACATGTAGAATGGTGAAATAATTAAGAAGCAGAAAACTTTCCTAGCATGTTCAGTCTAATATATCTCCCTGAAATACATAGCAAATCTATTTGACCCTCTTATACAACTGGCATAACAGAGAAGGCAAGTGGACTGAGAGGATCAAGGAAAATTATAGGGTCCAGCAGCAAAGCCAATTAGGTAGAGACATAGGTCATACGAATAGTGAACAGAAATTACATATTCTACATTGGCAAAAGAAAATTGACTATGTAGTGGCTTGAACTCAAATAAGATTGATATTTTTCTTCTTCCATTTAAATAACCTACTACACATTATATTGGTACCTCTAGTACAGTGGTTCTCAACCTTTTTAATGCCGCGACCCCCAACCGGTCGTAAGTTGAGGACTACTCAACTGGTGCAGCACCGTTTGCAGAATGGGACTTTTGGCGGGCTCAGCAGGGCAGAGACAGCCTGGACAATTCCTATTGGCTTTTGAAAGGCAATAGAATTAAATTCTATTCAAGAGAGTCTATTCTATTGGCTTTCAAAAGCCAATAGAATAAAAGTGAGTAGCACAGCTAAGGAAAAGGGGGAAAATGGCGGACTGGGTTGTTTGGCGACCCCCGTGAAATGGTCGTTCGACCCCAAATGGGGTCCCGACCCACAGGTTGAGAATCACTGCTCTAGTAGTATATTTGTATAGCTCCCTGAGAGATTTCTGGAAAACCTGAAATATAAAAAAATATTTTGTGCCATTTGGGTTGGCCCTAGAGAGATTTTACACATTTTTCTCCTTCAATTTGGCTGCGCAGGTTTTGCAGAAAGTGACTCCTAGGATGTTCAATGGATGTTCTCTAAGCATGTCGCAGGTATGAAGCCCTATAACAGGTACTTAAAAGTAAGTTCAGTAGTTTATTATTAAATAAATGGACATTCTTGTATATGCAATCTGAATTTCTGACTGTTTTGTGCTATTGTAATATTCAACTGTCATGGCAAATGAGTCATGAACATTCTGTCTGCCTGCCTTTTAAAAATCTACTGGACAGTTGTTGATAGAGATAAAATGTTCTTAATTATTCTTAGCATTAGAGAACAAATTTATTACTGTTAATATGTGGAAGATTCTACTAATTATGATGTTCTCAGTAGATTTACTTTTGCATGAAGAATGAAGTTTACACTTTTAATGAAATACTAAAAAAAAACTGATAAAAGTGGTCCAGTTATGTAGGGATAGCATTGTGACTAATAACGAGAAGAGAGGCCACCAAAATACATAAATACAACTCATTAACTAACTTTATTAATTAGGGTAAAAGGATTGTAAGCAGTGGCAATTTAAATTGTCCCAGTCAATGCCTGTGGATTGGCTTTAATAACTTTCCTGAGTAACTTTAATTCATCTAATTAGCTTATCTCTCATACAAATTTTCTCTAGAGACAGGATCAGATCCAAAAGTGGCTTAAACCTTTTCTTGTCTTTGATGCAATGTTAGTGCCATTAATGTACTGGGATATAGTATAAGGAAACCTCCAGTAAATGGAAATACTGCCTTTTGTGGTAAAGTTACTGATATACGTGCAATGGTGGAATTCAAATATGTGAACAACCAGTTCTTTGTGTGGATGCCGCTTCCGGAAGTCCATTCTGGGCCTGGGCAAAATTAGCTACTGGTTCTGCCGAAGTGGTGTGAACTGGCTGAATTCCACCATTGTATATTTGCCATGATATAAATGAAAGATTAGAAGATTTATCCAAGCAAGGTGTCCTGTTTAATATGCTTCAATAAGAAACCTCCCTAGGTGATAAGGTATTTCTAAGGCAAGAGATATTTGGAAAGTTAAAGCAAAGTGGAAAAACTTACTTTTCTGACACCTTCTTCCAACGTAACCTTCCATACAGGAGCACAGGTTGTTTCTCATACATAGCCCTTTGTTCTTACAAGGAGGATTGCAGAATGCTAATTACAATGCAAACAAAATAAACCAAGGTTACTAGTAATAGGACAGCAATTGCAAAATAGACCTTGGCAGCCTAATGCTATGCCACAGGGCATTGGTAACACTGTGCCCATGCTGATATTTAGAATTACAGACTCCTGGTAGAATCTGATTACTCAAGGAAGCCCTCCCATCCTTTGATTTTCCTTATTCTAGCATAGAATGTGATTTGTTTTCTTTCAGTTCAGTTCAGTTCATCGAATGACCTAAGCTACCATACTTTGTGAGGTATTATGCCAATTGTGCAATTGTTATTGTTTATTATGATTTGTCACAAAGTCAACCAGATATTTAGACTGGATCTGGAATTTCTGTCTGCTTATCGAGTCCTCCCCAAGTACCTGAGATAGGCAGATGTGGATGTTTGATGATGTTACAGATATTATTGCAGGATGTAAGCTATTCAGAGTAAAGCCAAGCAGTTGACTGTTGGTGATTTTGTCAATGCTGGTGGTGTTCAAGTGCTGCTTCAATTGTTTTGACATTGTCCCCAAGGCACCTATGACTATAGGTACTACCTTTGCTTTCTTTTGCCACAGTCATTCTATTTCTATTTGCAGGTCTTTGTATTTTGTAATATTTATTTATTTATTTATTATTATTATGCAGTTACCATGATTACACAAATCATAGCATAGCACAATGTGTGGCTTAGACCAGTGATGGCGAACCTTTTAGAGACCAAGTGCCCAAACTGCAACCCAAAACTCACTTATGTATAATCGGGTGCCGGGTGGGTGTGGCCCATTGGGTGGACGTGGCTGCAGTGGTTAACAGCAGACTGGGCGGGACTACAAAGTTCAATCAATTCCAACTTTGCGAGATCTTTTTTTTTCTGTGAGAAGTTGAAATTGATTGATTGAACCTTTTTTTTTTCACATAGCGGCGGAAGCCTAAAGTGAAAAGGTTTTATAAAACGCAGCTGAAGGCTTAGGACTGGGGCGACGGTGCGCGTGCCCACAGAGAGGGCTCTGTGTGTCACCTCTGGCACACGTATCATAGGTTCGCCACCACGGGCTTAGACCAATATTTGGTTGTTTTAAAGCAGGGGTGTCAAACTCGCAATGTCACGTGACGTGTCGCAATGTATTGTGACTTTTTCCATGGTCGGCAATGGGGTGGGTGCAGTTTTGGCATGACGCATCCAGCCCATGGGCTGGCAGTTTGACACCCCTATTTTAAAGCTTTCATTAAATCTACAATAACAAGATAGTCTGTGGTGAGCTACAATATTTTGCATGGCCCGGAAGAATGTTTTAAATGGCATAGTGGACTAGCTGTTTATCATGATTAACACAGTCCTATATAAGTCTATGGGAGTGCAATGGCTCGGTGGTTAAAGATACTGAATTTGTAAGCTGGAGAGCTGACAGCCCAGGTTGGAGACCCAAGCTCTGCGCAATAGGGTGAGCACCTGTTACTTGCCCCAGTTCCTGCCCACCTAGCAGTTTGAAAGCATGCAAATGCAAGTAGATGAATAGGTACCACTTCAGTGGGAAGGTAACAGCATTCTCTTCACCTTTGGTATATAGCCATGCTGGCCACATGACCACAGAAATTGTCTTCGGACAATGCTGGTTCCCTCTGCCAAAAAACGGAGATGAGTACCACGCCCTAGAGTTGGACATGACTGACAGGGAAATTTTTACCTTTTATATAAGTCTACTATGAAAAAAGTCCCATTACATATGTTTACCCCATTTTCAGGTAAACAAATGTAGGATAGCAGCTATACAGCCTTTTATAAAAGATGATATTACTGGAGTTGGAGAGATTGCTGGATTAAATAAATGTATTTAGGTGTTAGCTTTACAGTGCAATATTGCCTAGTGGTACTTGGAAGGGAACTCAGTCAGACTTACTTTGAAGTTGTTCATTTAAGATTTCTATTTTATGCTTTCAATGAAAATCATCATCATTACTATTATTATAATAGTAATACAATTACTATTATTATAGTAGTAATACAATACAATAAAATTATATTGTATTGTATTACTACTATTATAATTACTGTTTTTCTTTAATACCTCATCTTCCCCCCACAGACAGCTAAGAAATGATACCATTTTTTTAAAAAAAAACATAATTTAAAACAAAATATAATAATTACAAACAGAAAATTGCAATAAGATAATTCGAACCACTATGAATGAGAATTTAATGAGGCATGACTTTGTAGATCATAGATACAATTAGATTTCATAAGGTTATCTGGACTACAATGATTGGAATACTTTAAGCAGTAAAAAAATGTGTTAAAGCATTGTTTTCCAAACTTTGCTGGTAAGAAAAAAATATAACAATTTAAATGAGAAACTGAAAGGCAGTTTTGAATATTGGAAACTAACTGCAAAATCTCTGGTAGATGTTTAGCAGAATTGTTGTCAAATGGCTGCTACTATCAGGGATGGGACTTCTTTCCATTCTGTCTTTCAGAATACAAAACGGCAAAACTGTGCATGGTTTTCAAAAATTATCTTCTTAAGCCTTATTTCATTAGAATAGAGTAAACCGGAGAAAACCAAAGAATGGAGTACAAAATTCTCTCACTCTTGACCCTAATATAATTTAATGCATCTCACATTAAAAAAAAATCTATGTTATATTGAGCAGGAAGAAATTACTGTATGGATTGCTGCAATACAAACAAATTATGCAAGTAAGTGTATAACATATTTTGAACTGCTAACAGTCTTGTAATTATATTAGATTAGGAAAATTTTATGTGCAACAGGAATTTGTATCAGATTTTCAGAAAGAGCTTGTGTATGGGGAGAAACAGTACATGAAAACCAATTAAGGAAAATTGATCTCTTGGCTGATAGAACCAAAAAAAAGACTTACTATTTATCCATCGCTTTTATTCTCATTTCAAGTAATACAGTGATTATCAAACTGTTCTTACACTGTTGAGTGTACTGATGTAGTAAAGTACTATATATTGTGATATTTTGCCAACCTATACTTTAAAGCTGAGTTCATTATGAATTACAGATTTGTTTGCTGTGATACACTCAATATATTATTTACATAACAGTATACTGTATGCTTTTCTGTCTTTAAAAATAATACGGGGCTTGATATATAGCACTATTTCAACTAATATCTTACTATGCATGTCATATAAACAATATGCCAGCACATGGTTTGTTTTGAATAAAAGTGAAGATGCAACAAATAATGGGAAAGAATATAAAATAGGGAAGGGAAGCAATATTTAATCATTGGAATTTAATTTATTCATCTTACCAGATTGACACTGGAGCCCGAAGAAACCAAATGGGCAAGCACATATATTTGGGCGAATGCAGGTCCCACCATTTAGGCAAATGGGTTTGCAAATGGCTGTCCCAATAAAAAAATAAAAATTAAAACTTACTTTAGATAAGGTGGAAAATAACAGATTGTTCCTTGCTCTGTCACTATATTTCCATTTAGAACACGGAATAATTCTGTTTTAAACAATGGCTCAGTGAGCAATGAGACATTTTGCAATCTTTTTCTCCAGGTGTATCTCTAGTTCTGAGGAACTTGGAGACAAATTTCTTCTCTGCCTTTTCTCTCACCTTTTCTGTCCATTGTGGAAACAGTAACACTTTTTCAATTTGTTGCAAATGTGATGACACTGAAGTCCATTATATACTGGCCGCTATTTACTGGTTTATAGCCTGAAATATGTGCCTTGTATTTTACCAATGCTGTAAAAATGAGGCTTCAGTCAAATCTATAAATAATATAAATTGGCATTTATGTACAAAAATCATCCATGTTGCCTTGTCTTGAATAAGACAAAACACCTTAAGAAGAATGGGAGTTAACGTTGTTAGTTTGAGGATAAAATTAATTGAATTATAAATATATATTTTAATGTTTGTTCAATGTTTATTTAGTGATCTGAGCAAATCTATAAAGTATATTAATTTGCATGAATTGTACAATTAGACATGAATACTTTTATGATACTTGTATGCATATTTCTGTTAGTGTGTAATACAGTAATATTTTTGGTGAAAACTAACTGAAGCAAATTGCCACAAGAGCTATTAGTATTAATATGCTGATGATACTCAGCTGTGTATCTCAGCCCGTGGTGAGTTAAGCGATGCTGTGACTTCCTTCTCGTACTGCCTGGAGTCTGTTAGGGGCTGGATGGGGAGCAACTGGTTAAAATTAAACCCTGGCAAGACCAAGTTGCTCTGGATTTGGGGTTCTTTGGCCCATGGAGAATGCCACCTTTGATCTTGGATGGGGTGGCACTGCCCCAAACAGACCATGTGTGTAATCTGGGGGTACTCCTGAACTCGCGACTCCTGCTCAAAGAGCAGGTGGCAATTGTAGCCAGGAGGGCCTTTGCACAACTGTGGATTGTGAGTCAGTTATGCCATTTCCTGGACCAACAATCTCTACTCACTGTCACTCATGCCCTAGTCACCTCCCGTCTTGACTATTGTAACATGCTCTACATGGGGCTGCCCCTGAAGAGTATCTGGACGCTCCAGTTGGTGCAAAATGCAGCAGCTCACATAGTTTTGTGCAGACCTCAGTGTGCACATGTGTTACCTCTCTTGTGGGAACTGCATTGGTTGCCAATTTGCTTCCAGGTGCAATTCAAGGTGCTGGTTGTCACCTTTAAAGCCCTTCAGAGCTTGGGACCAGGTTATCTGAGGGATTGTCTCTTGCCAGTCATATCTATCCAACCCACTAGAACAGGAAGAAAAGGAATGTTGCAGGTCCCATCCTCTAAGAAGATACATCTAGTGGGACCCAGAAGAATGGCCTTCTCTGTGGTGGCTCCCTCTCTCTGGAACATCATTCCCTAGAAATTAGACTGGCCCCCCACTCTAGCACTTTTTTGGAAGGCACTGAAGACCTGGTTCTGCCAGTGGATCTTGGGAACCCAGAGTGGGATGGAGCCCATTAAATGGCTAGTACAAATGTGTGTTGTCACTGGGGGGTTATTATTTTATTAATTATTATTTTTACTTCTTTTTATGATGTTTTTTATATCTGTGTAAACTGCCTTGAGTCACCATGTGTGAGTAGGTGGCAATATTTTCTAAAATAAAAAAAATAAAAAGTACATTAATGCAAATAGATCCTTATTTGACCTGGATATACAAGCTGCTACACATGTAAGTGTAATTCTTAAGGGTTATTTGTATAAACTGGCAAAAACAACCTAAAATGTGTATACAATAAACATAAATACAATACATAAATACAACAAACCTTTTACTTCACTCAGCATTCAGTTTATAATGCAGTAACTTGCACTATTCTGTTTCCTCTGAATTTAGTTAATAAGAAAGCTGCTTTTTTTTCCACAGTAGATATATGGCCAGCAAAGAGGACAGAAATAATTTTAACACTAATAATCCTTACAGGCAGTGCTTTTTTCTAAAAAAAAAAAAAAGGTGCCGGAACTCACATATGTCATACAACCCGCCTTGCCTACCCTATAAGGTTCCATCCAAAAAAGGTGCCGGAACTCCATTCTGGGCGTTCTATGGCAAAACAGCCTTGCTTACAGGAGTACACTGACTATACTGAGATCTTTTTTTTTCTCTTTTTATATTAACCAGAAAGTGAAATATTGTATATAGCCGATGCCATGTATCAGGATGTATAACCTGAGATTTATGAAGACAGGGCAGTAGTGTTATATTATAGCTAGCTAGATCGTTAATAATTCAGAAAAGTGGTCCAAGCAAGAAGCAAACGTTTTATTGAATCACTGCTTGGGGTGTTGTTTACAGTTTGTGTGCTTGGCTTCCTTGGTGCATTTCAACTTGTGTAAACTTATCATATAGAACTTGCTCAGCATCAGTTTTTACCAAATCATAACCCTGACTCCATTTATTGCACCCCTCCCTTTGATAAAAATGCAGAACCTGGAACTGGTTTAACATCACAACCCCCCCCCCAATGGCCACTGCAGTATACTGCTATTGCCAAAGGGAAGAAGAAATGTTTGTCAATTCATAAATGAATTGACAAAATGAAAGTGGAATGGAATGAAATCAGATTTAGCATTAAAGTGCAGTTTGCAGATTAAAAGGACCCATTCTTCTTCATTTATAGTGATTTGCAGATATTTGGGAGAGAAGCATATTTGCCAGCATTATCTGGGGATGTAATTACAGTTTACAAAAATCTTCAAAACATGTGCTTTTCCACGTATGGTCCTTCCTTAAGAGTTTGGGATGTATAACAATACTTTGGGGCTAAGTGTTGTATTTTTCTTAGAATAATTTGCTGGATTCTATATTCCAGGAAGCATAGATCCAGTAACTTATAAGTTTAGCTAACATTAAATTACATGTTTGATTTCATTTGTTTCTATTTCATTAAAACTAATACTGTTAAAATTATTACTCTTCAATCATATAATAAAACACTTTCCCTTCTGTCATATTACAACTTAGTAAACACATTTGAAGGTTACCAATAGAAGCTTCAGAGGCCACATGCAGCCCTAAGACTTAATCATCCACATTGGCTTCACATTTGGCTGTTGATGAAAACAAGGAATGTAAACTAAGAAATGTCTACTACATTAAAAATGTCTATTGCACCATTTTTTTTAATAATCAAAAGAAAATGCATTTAGCTCAATGTTTTCAGAATAGCCTAACAGACCACTGCACCAAATATATGGAAATCACAAGTAGATCCAAACAAAGAGTGCAGATAATTGATATTAGAATGCTGTGTCTTGTGGCAATTGCAAGTATGATAATTTAATATACATATATGTCAAATGTAGGAGTGCAACAATTTGCAAGCCTGCATTCGAAGCCTGGATGCTGCTGTGTGACAGGGTGAACGCCCATCATTTGCTCCATCTCCAGTTCTAAAGCATGTAAAGGTAAATAGATAAATAGGTACTTTGGGGGAATTCATTAACAGGGACATGAAAGGAGCCCCCCCCCCGGGCATCCTCCAGGCAATGATAATGTCACTAGTTAATCCTTTTATCACGGAAGTACTTTTTGTGCTTCCGAAATGAAAGTATAGTATAGTATAGTGCCAAGAATTATCTTGTTTAGCCTTCAAAACAAATTAGGCACCTACAAAGATAAGGAGAGGGACAATATTCAGTCCTCTATAAAAGACAAGTTACTTTTGTGCGGGATGATAGTTATGGGTAGAGCTATGTTATCTGTCTGTCTGTCTGTCTGTCTGTCTGTCTGTCTGTCTGTCTGTCTATCTATCAAATATAGACATCATCTATCTTCCTCACAGAGGGAGACTCTGGGCGGGGTACAAATAAAATACTAAAAATATAAAAATTAATTTCAAAAATTTTAAATAGAGCCAAGGATGGTTAAATTCAACATAAAAGTTAATTAAAAGGCAGCGGGAGGGCCTTCAAGAGCACTAACCAGCCCCATGGCTGCGTGCTTCACTGTGAGCTCCAAGAGAGTTGGCAAAGCCAGGTCTTCAGACATTTCCAAAAGATCAGAGGAGACTGGGGGTTTGCCTCACTTCTTGGGAGAGAAGTTGATATCAGCCCCAGATAAGTGTGTAACAGAAGCTGCATGCTATACCTTTAAGAGAATTATCGCATACTGTGTCTTCATGGAAATTCTTAGTAACATATGTTTACCTGTTTCACACAAAGGACCACTCCAACCAGCCTTGCACTGACATTCATCCGGTGCCACACATTTCCCACCATTGTGACAGTGCTTATTACAAACCACTGAAAAACAAATTAGGGCAAGGTCAATTGTACCAATTATTAGAACCTGAATTTTGCTTTAAATTATGCTGATTGAAATCCAGGGCAGCCACTGAAAGCTTCTCAAGTACTATGTTATTAAAACTAAAATGCAAATGTCATGTAACCTCTTTGTTTCTTAATGAGCGGTATTTTCTTTTAACGCAGAAACAGATTCACACAGAAACATTTTTTAAAAAAACTTATTGTAGACATCTTTGCAGAGACGTGTTAAAAAAACTGATCAAGGACAACAGGATATTCAATCACTGATCACGTTATGTAATTAAGACAGTGTAATATATGTGTACTATTAAATTGTGACTAGTTTTAAAGGCACATTATTTCAAAGTTATTAACATATTAGTATAAGTTTTGAACAATAACGTGACCCTTAATGGCAATCCCCCAAGTCCTTTATATTCTCGCAAACATTACCATGAACAATGTTTCTCTGCAAGAGAGCTGTTACAAGTATTGAAAAAGATTGAATACATTTTATGGCGTTAATGTGGTTTTGGAAAGCACAGCATCAGATATGAGTATTAAATGTATTTATTAATATTGAAATATTGACTTACATGCTGCATACTAGATTAGATTTGATTTAAAATAATGTCAGAATTATGGTTTGTCACACAGTCAGCCAGATGCCTAGATTGGGTTTAGCATTTTTATCTACCTACTGAGTCCTTCCCAATTATTATTACTGCTGTTGTGTAAAGTTTGCTCTCTTCTTTTCTCATATTATTTATTATCTATCAAAAATGCGGAAAGATTGATAAAGTTACATACACATAATAGTATACCTACGTGTTTCACATCTTGAGCCAACAAATCCATATGCACAGGAACAGATATTGTGACTGATACAGGTCCCTCCATTTTCACACAGTGGATCACAAAGTGCTATATAAAAGAACAGAAAAAAAATGATAACTGAATTTAGAATAGATCCACTGTAATGAGGAGCCTGTTGATCTATGTTCTACCACTGACATATCTCTGCTTTGTCTATGTAATACTAAAACCTTAATTGAGCAAAATGATACATCATAGGGCAATAATGATTGAACCAAGATACCTCAAATGGGCTAGGTTTCAGAATGCTGGAACCCGTTGCTCCCATGTGAATTAAATTTGGGGAAGTCGTGGTTGCTTCAGCACCCCTGCCACTTGCCTAGCTGCTTCCCTAGAATTTGCAGTTCTGCTAGTTTCCCCATTGATGTTGTGCCTGCAAACCTCCGACAAGCAAAGTAAATGGGGAAGCCAGCAGGAATTCTAGGGACGGAGGAAAGGGGATTTCCAAAGCTCTCTGCCAGCTTCCCACAAGAAAACTCAGTGGGGAATCCAGCAGGAAGTTGGAAATCACTCTTGCACCCACTGCTTTTTTGCCCACCCTTGGTCACACGGTTTCTCTGTTTAGGGAAGGAAATATCTCTTAAATGATGTCCCCAAAAAATCATAGCTTCTCTAGTTGTCTGTAAAATCAAAGTGATGAGTGTTTCAGTCCCAAGCATTGAAGCTGAATTGTGATTAGATGGTAGGGATTAAGGCAGTAATTAATAATACTGTGCCTATAGATATAAAGTTGTGTAATATCACTGTGCAGGAAAGTTGGAAAAAAAATAATTGTGAATGTTTTTTTCCCTAAATAATCAATTTTTTTTTTCAGGACAATGGGTGATTACTAGACGTCTCTATAGATCTAGGATGAAAAATGAGATTATTAGAGTCTTGTTTCTAATTCTCATTCTTATTTACTGATGAATTTGGGAAAGTTTTTAACTTTATTCGAGTGGATCATGGTCTGGTGAAATATTTTTTTGTCAGAATGTTCTAATAAAGCTTAGTGTACAAGAAAATATATCTAAACATTACGCCTGTGCTAGTTTTCTTATCTTCTCATTATATTTTGTGTTTTAAAGAATATTGCATTTTATTAGTCAAAATAATTTGAGTTATTATTTGATATACTTTCATATAAAGAAGCTAAGCTTTCTCCTGTGATCTTTACCTGCCTGCTTCTTCTTGCTGCTTCCATACTTTTCATGTGGCAATTGATGATAATGTAAGAAAAATGTATGAAAAATATGTATAAAGTTTTCAAAAAAATATATAATGTAATTGGATAAATAACTTTCCAACTATCGGCATAGTTTATTCCCATGACCTTGACTTTCATAGGTTTTTTTTTTAAAGCTATTCTTGTTCTCATATTATAATGCTGGTAGAAAATGATAAGCAAATAAATATTCTGCAAAAGCATATTGTGATACTTTGGCTGTAATGCTGATTTATTTAGAAGTAAGTTCCACTTAATTCAAAAGAAATTATTTTAAAGTAAGGATTTTTTAAAAAATCCTGTAGAATGCTTTGGATTCAAAGACAAAACAGGTTTTAACTATAGGACAATGTGATTGCAGCACTTCTTAAACCAAATACATCTTTTCTCTGAATCATACAACAGTTACTCAATCCCAGGAGAAAACTTATAGATCAGTGGTGGCAAACCTATGGCATGGGTGCCAGAGGTGGTGCTCAGAGCCCTCTCTGTGGGCATGCACACCGTCACCTCAGTCCTAGGCCTTCAGATGGGTTTTATAAAACCTTTTCACTTTAGGCCTCTGCGTGTATATATAAAAAAAGGTTCAATCAGTCAATTTCAACTTCTTGCGGGAAAAAAAAAGATCTTGCAGAGTTGGAATTTATTGATTGAACTTTTTAGTCCCACCCAGTCTGTGGTTACCACTGCAGCCATGCCCACCCAATGGGCCACACCCACCCAGCACCCGACGATGCATAAGTGGGTTTTGGGTTGCAGTTTAGGCACTCGGTCTCTAAAAGGTTCGCCATCACTGTTATAGGTATTCCGTCTTCCACACTGCTATTAGATGAATTAGTTATTATGTGAGTTCTATGCACTATGAAACTAAGAAACAAGACACAAGATAAATTACACATATATTTCTTGCTTCTAAACAGAAGTCTTTTAAATTGGTTTTTCATATGTATTTTTTTTTTAAAAAAAATACCATGCCATGTTTACAGCTCTCTCACTTACAACTCTGCTGAGTATTTGTGGATGTTTTTTTTTTTACATTTAAAAATAAACACACTGAAATAAGATCCATTTCAATATATGTGCATGACTGAACTTATAGTGCCTGGAATGAAGCAACTTGTAAAATAATTAAGCTTGTTACTTTGGATGTTCTCCAATGAAGGTAAACCAGTCTTCAGTTTCTGAAGTTACTTGAATAAATAACCAACCTATTCTAAATACATCTCATTAGAGAGTTTAATAAAATTACTGATCACAGGCACTGCTATTGTCACAATCTCACAATTTAAAATAGATTTATATTGTATGGGAATGGTGCTTGGAGAATAGTAGCCAAAATAAATTATTTATCAATGTCTAGCATAAGTATTTATTCATTAGATTTATGTGCCGCCCATTTTGTCTGGAGGTGAGTAATTGCTAAGTTTGTGCAAAGCTTCCATTCAAACATTTAATTTTTAAGATGATTGGATGAAATTACTTCTTTGAAATGAATAATCAAATCAGTTCCATTCATTGTCTTTCAGTCACTCAGAGACCTGATGGACTTCTGCACATGTACATACACCCTTGAACTGAATCATCAGATTGCAAATTTGAATCAAATCTACTCTTTGCATCAAAGTACAAATTCAAACTGAATCCTAATTTATTAGCAGATGTATGAAGCTGCATAATCAAGAATGTTTCATGTTTTGAGCCAGTGAAAAAGGCTGTACACATTAACTATATGGAACAATACAAGGAATTATAATAGATTATAAAGAGGTTGGACAAATGGTAGCAAACTAAATTGCAATTTTTGTCTAACAGAAACTGATTTTCCCAGTGGTTTGAGCAATATAAGTATATTCCATTACAGTATTCTAAGAGTCATATTAGGCATACAAATGAGGGCCCGTTCTATTTGATGAAAACATTTCTAAGTATGACTTAAATTGTGGCTAGTGTGTTCTAGTTAGCTACTAACAGTTCCCAGCAAGTAGACACCAAAAATAAAACTGCCATTTGGGCCAGAGAGAGTGAAAATGAAACTATGCTCCCTCATCTAGCTGCTGCCTGCCATTGTTTGCCTTAGTGTTACCTGTGGAAAACAGATTGCTCACAGGATCAGCTTTTGATTAAGTACATCAGATGCCTGGGGCTTGAAATTACCCTCTTGTTTCCTCTCTGCACCACAAAAATTTTTGTGGGTACTAGGAAAGTGTGGGAGAAATACTGTTGGCTATTTCAAGAACACACTCTTTGGGAAAAGTGAAGAAGAGAAAATATTCTGGGACTGAACAGACCAAAGCTAAATATGGTAGGAAAGAACCAGTAGATTATTGCAGGAAAGAATGGGAGATTAATGATTGGCTGCCCTTTCATTCACATTACAAACTATATAAGGAAATTAAAATGGTGTAAAGGTTAAGGTACCAAGGTACAAAGCAGGAGACCATGAATTCAAGTCCTACCGTATCCATGGAAGCCAGCTGGGTGCTTTGGGTAGTCATTCTCTCTTAACCCAAGCCTTCTTTCAGGATTGTTGTTATGGAGAAAATAGGAGGAGGAAGTGTGCTGGATACGTTGGGTTATTTGTAAAAATAATAAAGGCAGGATACGAATGAATGAATGAATGATCTCTAATATGTTTTTAGATTATCCTAGGCTTCTTGTCCAGGAGGATTATTATTATGTGCATGCTGAGATTGTCCAATCAAGAACAATCTAGAATTTCATTTCTTCGTTGACAGCCATGAAGTAGTCTCTATTAGTACCTGGCCCAGCATATTCTGTTTGGATGAGACTGATAATCTGAAAATGCAGGATAACTATGTGAAACCAATGTCATAGATAGTTTTAGATGGGTTCAAGTCATTGTCAAAAATACCACATGAAGAGTAGTTTATATAGGGATGTGCCCAAGTTACATAAGATCTTATTTATTTATTTCAATTAGTTAGCACAACTTGGAAATAAGCAATGTTTCCTCAGATGAAAGATGTTTCTCCCTGCCTGTAGGAGGCACTTCTAAGATGACCTGAATGCAGTGGTGGGATTCAGCCAGTTCACACCAGTTCAGCAGAACCGGTAGCTAATTTTTTGTTGCCGAGACCCAGAATGGACTTCCAGAAGCGGCATCCACACAGAGAACCGGTTGTTCACCTATTTGAATCCCACCACTGCCTGAATGATGTATCTACCAATTATGGGCCTGTCTCATAAATGTAATTTCTGGGAGAGATGATTGAGAAGGTAGTCGTCTTGCCCTCCAGATGCTTATGAGGATTCTAATTATCTGAATCTAATTCAATCAGGCTTTTAGCCAAACAGAAGCTGCTTTGATTATGTTTGGGGAAATGCTAAGTGCCTTGGAATTCTCAAGTGTTCGTTGTTATCAGCCACAATATTCTTCTCCTTCAATTGGGGGATTGGTCTTTGGGAACACAGATTTACAATGGCTCAGTCTGATGCTAGGAGTTGACATAATGAAATAATTGCTCGACACTTAGGCTGGTGACCTGTGGTGTTCCACAGGGTTGCATCTTATCTTGCATCTTATTCATTAAGCAGCTGGAGAAGGTCATGAAGAGATTTAGAGTGTGGTGTCATCAGTATTGCTTCTTATCAGTTAACTGAAAGAGCAATCAATATGTTAAGCATTGCCTAAATCTGATAATTGGGAGGATAAGGGAGAACCTACTCAATTAAAACCAGAGAAACCAAGGTACTTTTGGTAAATAGGAAAAGAAGTCTTGGAGATGGTGAAACTCTCCCTCTGAAAAAGCAAATTCACAATATAAGAGTGCTGGCGGGCTTCTAGGCTGAATAAATTTAGTGTTGGTTCTTAAAGCCTTGGTTCCACTTTATTGGCATTACTACTACACATTCTATGTGTAATAGTAATGCCAATTTTATTTTTAAAAATGTGCAGAAACAGCAGCTTGTACAAATTGTACCAGCTAAGCTGCCAACCTGTACAAGGTACAGAACTATATACTACTGGTACTGCAAGATCAACAGTTGCTTACTGAGCACACATGTAGGGCCTATTATAGAGATTAACTTTCCCATGATGAAGCTGTTCAGCTATTGAGATTTGTACACGAAACCCTTTCGAGTATCACCCCCTCCCCAAACCGTTATTTCTCGTACCTATAATAGGACCTTTTCTTGTATTGTTCTCAGATATGGAACTGTTGGATTTTATATTTTCCTTCCAATTTCTCAGCATTTAGAACATCTGTAAAATATCCCTCTTTTGCTAAGTTCGTAATTGCTAATTGATTTTAGTATTAATTTTACTATTAATTTTACTTTATGCTTTATTCTTATTATTTAGCCACCTTGAATATTCACTAGAATAGAAAGGCAAGGCACAAATCAAAACAACAAATGAATAACATTTACTCTAGTGATAAATATTTATCCTAATTTAGTCTTCTTTTGCGGAAAGTAGTTATAATTCTTATATTTGTATATTTAGATAGTTGATTATCAAAACCTACCATAGAATACTTCTTTTCAGGAGGATGAAGAAGCATAAATAAAATACAATTATTTTCTTTGCATTTATAATAAAAATGGGTTTTCTTGATTATCAGAATTAGTTGTGGATTATAATATAATTAGTCTATATGTCTTCCCATCCACTGGCCTGGCAAAGAATCCTCATTTATTTAGACAATAGTTCTTTGAAGTCCTCATACATCAAGAATTGATTTATAAATTTATAGTATTAATTTTAGAATTTGATTCCATTTTGTAATTTGTTTTGTATCACTATTTTTATCTAGAAAAATATTATTAAGTCAAACTTATGATCCTCCTGATTTGCAATTTCTGGAACACAAAGCTAAGCAGGAAATTGTCAGAGGGATAAGGGTGTGTAAGAGAAAAACCTGAGCTAAAAAATTACACATGTTTGTGTTTACTAGTACAGGGTTACTAGCACAGGATGCATGAAATTACTAAGGAAAAAAAATCTGAATTGTAACTTGGAAGTTTTTACCTCAGGAAATGAATTCATTTTTATGGGCCTAGTACATTTCATATGGCAAAGAACAGTAGGATATGTGGTATGAGAAATTATTGAAAATCTTGAGTTGAAATCTGATGGTTGTTTATTATTCTATGTCGAATATAAGTGGTAAATTTTAAGGGGAAAATGTATAGGCATAAGTATTTACAAAATGTGTTTGATAGATTTGACACTAATGTGTCAAAGAAGCAAACTTAGCATTCCTTAGTCTTGTCAATTGCCATCTTGTTTAACACTGACTATATTGTTAAGCGATAAATATATATCATGTCAAGTGTTTTTTATATACAGACTGATGTATTGTATATTCCCAATAAATGGATTTAGATTTAGGCAAATTTATTGGATAAGCAAGTTGAAAATATAGAAGCATGTGGAAAACAATTAAAGTCTAACCCTAACAACAGAAGAAAGTCATTTTGCCAAATTATTAGACAGGTTTCAGCACTGTGATCCTTTAAAACATTTCGTTCATTTTTTAATTTAACCAGCCAAATTAACATTCTCCCTCAGAAATATGCACTGTGGTTATGTGCCCTGAAGTCATGTACAGTATTTTAAATGATAGACTAATTTTCTCTTCAGCGTTTTACCGATAGAATTTAAAAGCAAAGTTTTTGCTTTTAAGTCATACATATTACCTTAATACAAAATTATGGTACATTGTACTACTTTCATTTATGCCATACTCTTTTAATTGACAGATATTCCATTTCTAGCCAGATCATATAATTCTATAGCTAATATGCTGAAACTCCTAAATTTTGAAGAATTCAGCTTTTCCTCCCTCATATACGTTTGTCCAATTTGCTACCCTTAAATAATTGTCTCATGTACTACTTTTCATACTATAATACTATTTATATAATACTATTACATGATCCATGAGACTGAAAATAAAAAAAACCCAGATACCTGACACTGATATATTTTGTATTTTATGCAATACTAGTTACTGAACAGGCATATTTCACTTTTTATCTACAAAGCTGTGTTCCGTTTTTAAAAAAAATTTCAAAGTAAATAACTTTTTATTAATATCATGTAAGTGAATATACCAAACTATATACAGTATTCACATTCTCCATCTTAACAATGCTGTTTTCATCAAGGTAAAAAAATATGAAATAATGTTTCCTAAATATAACTAAAAAAAATCTACAAGAATATCTCTCATCTTTGACTATAAGTGACACTCTCAAGGTACAATGTATTTATATTTAACAATTATAGGTATATATTTATTGCTAATATGGGAATAGCATGAGAAAGTTTGAGAAGACTGACATCAAAACTTAAATTATTCACTAGATTTTTCAAAGTCTTCTGGTCATTTCTTTTCCTATAGTTTCTAACACAAGTGTTGGAATAATTTTTTAAATGTAGTAACATATGTGGTGTTCCAGGCTACATATGTTTAACAGGACATTTTAATATTCTCAATACCCCCAAGAACTAATCATGAATTGATGTAGAGAGTGCTAGTAATCTCTCCTCCCCTTTCTCTGCCCCCTCAAAAAATTCTTACCATAACACTGTATTCCATCGCCACTGTATCCAAAGGGGCAGGGTCCACATTTGAATGCCTGATCCTTTGTTGATTCACAGGGCACACCAGGGAAACATGGCATATGTGCACAGTTGAGTTGCTTATTAAGTGATCTCCAGTCAATTGCCAAATGGTTTACACCTGAGGCATAAGGCTTTCTGAATGAAGCAGTCCTTCCTGAAATTCTTGACTGCACAGAGCTCTCTAGTGCCTGGCTACGCTGATTTACACGAAGAGAAAATGATGTTTTCCAATGGAAAGAAGACAGTGTGGTCCATACGGACTGTCTCAAATGCTTTGCTTTAGAACCATGGTCAGAATTAGTCTGGGTAGCTGAAATCCCAAGATATTTTCCAGAAGGTGTCAGATCAGTTGAGGTATGGCTCTGTTGAATAGCATGCAGCTTTGTGCCCATGTCTTCTTGAGCGGAGGTATTCCTTGTGATATCTGCTTGAATCTGTAGTTCATAGTCTGAGAGTATTTTAGCAGCTCCTGCTTCATTTTTTTGAAGAAGGGCTCCCTGTGTGCCATTTTTCACTTTGCTGAATGGAAAGGTTTTTCCTATAGATGGTATAGGAGACAGAGGCACCACTTTTTCTTTGAGTGGAGATTGGATATCAATAGTTAAGGGATATCTTGCTATATGAAAGATTGTTTCTAATTTTGGAATATGATCTTGTGAAGATGCAGAATCAATATCTTGTAAATTCTTTATAACACCTTGGGTAAGGGAGATGTTGGCTTCCCCAGGGACTTTCACAGTTACATCAGACAAACGTTTGGCAGAACTTGACACTAAATGAAAAAAGGTGGATCAGCACAAAATATTTTATATTTTCTTGTGACATTCGATAGACAGACAAACAGACAGATGATAAATATGATAAATATTTTCTGTCGTATGTCATGACAGTCGCAAGTCAAGTTACACATGTGACCAACCGGATTATATGATTATTATTTTTTTGCAACTACCATTAAGTGAACGCAATGGTCATTAAGCAAACACCGTGATCATTGAATGAACACATTGTCAGCAAGGGGCGTTTTTTTGCAGGGAACTGGAAGTAAATGTTGATTTCTGGCAAAAAAACCCAACAACATTGTAAATGGTGATCATGTGATTGTGGGATGCTGCAAACAGCCATAAATGCAGATCGATTGCCGAGCATCAAAATAAGATCATATGATTGCAGGAGGGTGGCCTTCGAACTTTGAATTGGGGTCATAAGTACATTTTGGGGAGAATGATATAATTTCAAATGGTCAGTAAGCAAATAGTCATAAGTCAAGCACTACCTGTATAAATCCTTCCCCTTTCTGGGCTGGATATAGACCTTCATTTAGTTTTCCACAATGCCCTTAACTTTATTTCTTGCAGTGTCTTGACATACCATTGTTCTGGGTCAGAGAAGAGATTCCACCGAAGGACATTTTATTTGAGATCTCAGAATAGGAGGACCCAGTTGGCAATTCAGTTTGGACTTTTTAATATAAATTAGCACTTTAAAAAACACACACACACAAATCAGAACAGCTTAGGCGTCTGAATCATTATTGGTGAGAAATGTGTGCAATTTGCATCTGAATGAAAACTGATCTAATATCAGTTTTTTGCAGCAAAAATTCCCCAAATAAAGTTGAATTATCATTTTAAATTCCCAGTTCTCCAAATGTGCCAGGTTACAAGAACATTTGAAAAAAACAAACAAAAAGGAAAAAGGAAAAAGACCTGTTAGGGAAAACAGTTTGCAAAACAGAAAAAAGGCAAACATTTATATTCTATTTTTTGCTAAGGTGAGCACTGAAGGTGGCTCACAAAGTTTTAAAATATCATAAATAAAATATACCATAAAAACAGTACAAAATATACAAAATGCTGCTAACACTAAAATCAGCTATTAAGAGGAGATATTTCTCTTCTCGGATGTTCTAAATGGTGAGAGACTGAAGCCAAATTGCTCCACAAAAGAACGCATTATGTAGCCCAAAAACAATTCCTGCATTGAGAATAATGCAGAAGACAGTTTTCACCCATCTATAAAATAGATGCACTGACAGCATAAACACCGTCAAGAGGTAAATGTTAATGGCTGAAGAAGTTGGTAACAATAGAGACAGTTCTTCAGTCAGTTAGATTTTAATGACCAATTAGCACCTTAATAAATAAGATCTTCTATTTAATATGTTAGGGAAATTTTTTATCTCAAATAGGTTTGATAAGAATACTGCTACAGTTTTAACTTAAACCTTCAATTGTGATTATCTGCAGAGAAACCTGGTGCCACAATTAAACTTCCCTGAAGCAATCCACAAGACTCTCTTCCAACTCTGTTCTCACCCTATCTCAAAGCTTGGAGGAAAAGCCAGCTCTTCACCACCCAGAATGTCATTTCTACAAGAGACTGCTGTATTTTCCAGATAAGATATGTATCTTAAATATATTTGTCAGTTAGAAATTCTGACTATTCCTCTAAAGTTTGAAAATGTAACTTGGAAGGCCCTTTCTATCCACTCCTGATTTTGAAATTATGTTCCCAACTAAAGAACCTCACATGGCTAAGTTCCTCTTCAAAGGGACATTCAATGTATCAGCTAATTCTTTCCTACACAATACCTTCCTCAAATTAATACTGAGAACCAGTACTGCAACAAGATACTGTAAAGTCCTAATCAAAGTCAGTTGTTCTGATGATAAGTTCAGAATTGTCCTATAGTAGTAGTAGTAGTATCACCAATTGGAATCTTCTATTTCTTTCCCAATTTCCTACCCAAGTTATTGAGTTTTAAATTTTGGACTCATTTAAAATATTTATATACCACTCTATATCATATTCTCAGAGAAACCTACAGTATCATCTTCCACTGAATGCATAATTAATACATTCCCAAATGGGGTTGCATTGAACTAGTCATACAGTAGTGTAATAGGATCTTTTTCACTTTGCTTGCCAATATAAGTTTCTAAGGAGTTTTTGAATTAATGAATAAAATATCCAAATAACTGGGTGATAGAAGTATCTGTTTAAAACAGCAAGTGGCAGAAAATGGTCTCCTACTTTCTCTTCCATTTAATTTTATACTGTACTTTTGCTGGCAAGGATTATCACATTATTTAAAATGCTACATAATTTACAGAGGCTGAGAGGAAAGTGGGTTTTACAAGTAGAGATTAGAATCAAAGCAGTATTTTTTTAAAATGTCATATTTTTTTTATTAAACTGTGAAGAAGGGTTAACACTGAAAGGTCGCCCGAGATCAACAGCTTTTTCTTTTTCTTTTATTTCAAATAGTCTTCAATATCTTAAGATGTATCATCCATTATCAACGGAAGAAGCAGAAGTGGTTATCCCTGCCCCAATGTGCTACCATATAATGGAAGAAGATGGAAAATAATGGTGACAGCATAAAATGCTCAAGGTCAAAATGAAATCTGCATGCCCCCCACAAAGCAACATTATTTTGTATAGGCCTGTCAGAATAAATTAATTAATGTACTTGTATATATGAATAGATTAAAAAAAAATCAGATGCACATTGGATATATTCCTGTCTTTAACTCTTGCATAATAAGGAAGAGAAACATTTGCTTGGCATTTTCCTTCTAATATAAGAGTTTTGTGGATCTTTTGGAATGCACAAAGCTCTGTGCATTTAGGAAACAATAGAATGTAAGGGCCAGGCCAAGAACAGTTATAAAGCAGTTATACAGCATGCTTTAAAGCAGGGGTGTCGAACTGCTGGCCCACGGGCCAGATGTGTCATTCCAAAACCGCGCCCACCCCATTGCTGGCAATGGAAAAAAAGTCACGATATGTCGCGACACGTCATTTGACGTCGCGAGTTTGACACCCGTTTTAAAGAGATTCTGGCAAAGGCCAGTGACATGAAGGAAAAAAACCCTGAGGTGTGTAATTTGTACTTTTGTTCTTGAGGCTCTCTCTCTCTCCCCATCAAGGCAGCATCCTTGACTTAACAACCATTCATTTAGTGACCATTCAAAGTTACAATGGCACTGAAAAAAGTGACTTATGACCATTTTTCACACGTATGACCATTGCATCATCCCCATGGTCACGTGATCAAAATTCAGATGCTTGGCAAATGGCAACTATTTATGATGGTTGCAGTGTCCCAGTGTCACCTGATCACCTTTTGCAACTTTCTGACAAAGTCAATGGGTAAGCCAGATTCACTTAACAACCTTGTTATTAACTTAACAACTGCACTAATTCACTTAACACCTGTGACAAGGGGCAAAACTTACTTAACAACTCTCTTGCAAAGGAAATTTTGGGTCCAGTTGTGGTTTTTAAGATAAGAACTATCAGTATATTTCCCTGGTAATGAAAGGAGAAGAATTGCGGGTCAACAGTGGCTGTCATAATATCTGCTTTTGTTGCCCTCATGGCTTGGTTGGTTTATGATCTTGCACATGTAAGGAATGAGTTGTTCTACTACTTGCCCAGCAATCTTTGGTGAAGAGCCTTGTCCCTTTTGGATACCTTCTGAGCAGCTATAATAGTCAGTGAGAATTAACACACAAGACAAAAGATGCCAGCCTGCCTGTTTTATAATGTTGCTGTTAGAGGGTAGTTTCATAATATATAGCCAATAGTCCTTCAAGTCATTGTATTTAAGCATCTGTTTACTTAATTGTATGAATATCTGCTTGCCGGGAATTCAAATTGATTTTTATCAGCCTTTTCATTATTTGCTGGGACAGAAAATTGAATGATTAGATACCTGTTCTTCATCACCTCCAGATTAAATTACCATAACATTTTTTCCACAGAGCTGGAAAAGCATTCTGAATATCAGCCCATATGAAATACTGAAGCCTGATTTTGATACTTACCCTTAAATGTATAATTACTTTAGAGACAAGATATTTAAATTGCTCCCTCCTTGCCTTTAAACCTGTCAACATCAATCTTTGAAGGACACCTTACTCTGTGTTCTACCACTGTCTGAAGTGTCAGCCCTGTCTGGGGATCTTTGATACAGTTTTCATTGTTATGATTGCTGGAATTTTACTAGAATTTTAGTTCATACATTTTTTTCATGTTAATTGCAGCTTTTTAAAAAATATTTTATTGGGTTATGGTTCCATGATAATTTTTAATATTTTTATTTAAATCAATAATTTAAATAATTAAATTGCATTGAGCCAGTTTGATGTAGTGGTTCAGGGTGCTGACCTAGAAACCAGAAGATGGTGAGTTCTAGTCCCAGTTTAGGCATGAAAACTGGCTGAATGATTTTGGACCAGTCACTCTTTTTCAGTTATACCCATCTCAAAGGGTTGCTGTTGTTGGGAAAACAGGTGGAAGAAGTATTAGGTATGTTGAATTACTTATAAAGTAATAAAGGCACGATAATAATCTAATAATTTTTTTTTTCAAAAAATTACATTTGATCAGTTTTATATTGTATGAAAATATAACATTGTTTTGTGATTGTTGGGTATATGTTTTGTATGTATGTATGTATGTATGTATGTATATATGTATGTGTATATATATATATATATATATATATATATATATATATATATATATATAAAACAATTCATATATAGAGAGTTTATATTAATGTTTCCTAATGCATGTTATTAATATACATTCCTTATAGATGTTTAATGTAATTTTCCTTGATGTTCTCTTTTTTTCCTATCTATGTGCATAACCCTCAAACTATTTTCTTATGGATAAGCAGCACAATACAAGGTGCACAAAACAATTAAGAAGTAATTAGCAAAAGAAATACAAGAAAAAGATCTTAGTTTATATTAACATCATCCCCTATTTCAAAACTTGGAAAGCCATGCTTGCTTTCATCTTGTCCATATTCTCATTTGGACATGCTTTGCACATGGCATAACAATGTTATTATGCTGTGTGTGAAGCAATGTATGAAGGGTATATTTATTCTTCCCTCGTATATTTGGGATTCAGTCTTCATTCATTCTTTTAACATTACAATAAAACCTGAACATATTGATTTTATTCTTGTTACTCAATTTTGTATTTAGCCTATGCCATTGTAAGCCACCTAGAACAGACATGTCAAACATAAGGCCCCGGGGCCAGATGCGGCCTGCGAAGTGGTTTCATGCGGCCTGCGAAGCCATCCTGGAAACAGTGAGGGAACGGCCCCCACTGCCTTGGCCCTGGCCCTGGCCAGCCAGGAGCCAATGTACAATTTTGTGGTGGCCATCTTGGCACTTGCCCCGGTGGACCATGCCTTGGCACTTGCCCTGGTCCCACCCCCTTGTTACATGCAAATAAAACCTCAGATCTGTCCCACTCCTGCCCAGGCCCCCACAGGCACCCTTGACGTGAATGTAGAACTGGCCATGCCCACCCAGTAGGCCACACCCACTCCATCCACACCCACCCAGTAGGCTGCACCCACTCTGGCCACACCAACCC